AAATATATAAGTTCATAGTTAAGAGATCAAAGTAATATTCGTTAATAGTTGAGAAGGTCTTGTTATAATTAACCTTGAGATAAGTTACAATCTAAAGCATTAATGTTAGAAACTCTTCAATTCCTTTTTAATATTGTCCTCTTGATCGGTTTCCTTGGATTTCCACTGCGTGTACAGAATGACTGTCATCCACATTTGATACATCATCGAAACATTGATGGGAAGATAGCAAAGAAGTATTTGAGAAAGAGTACAGGACATGACGAAGGAAGCTGAGAAAGTAATCAAAGATATTAATAGTAGCTTGATATGATTGTTTCCACCATAATTGGCACCGTCAATTACGCTACACTTTTTACTATCCCTAGTGGTTTCGATCAAGAAAATGGCCTACCAATTTTTTTCATAAAAGCAATAAATGGACAACAAGATCTGCAGTTGTTCATGTCTTACATTGGAGGAAGTTTGGTTGCTTCTTTATCAGGTTTGGGAACTCAACTTTTAGTGCAATTGTCATGGTTCAATAGCAACGATTTTCACATTTCGTTGCCCTTGAAATTTTTTATTGCAACCGCATCCTTGTTCTATGCCACTTGCTTCTCACTCACATGTTTCTAATTTTTCATTATCAAGGATGCATTCATAAATTCATATTTCGGGGTGATGTGGCTTGCCGGTATACTTATGACCCTTGTTTACGCAGATGCATTAGACTTGACCTATGATTATTACTACATAATTTGCTATTCACTTGCTTATAAAAGCCAAAAAATGTAAAATATGCACTTGTTTGGTACTTTTTTTAAGCCATTTTTGAATTTGTGTGTGACAACATTATAAGTTGTTGCGTGCCAAAAAAAAAAAAAAACACTATAAGTTGTTCAATCTCCAGCTTTTTGGTCTTTCAAGTTTCAAGTGCCTTTGTCATGTTTGCCTTTTGACAAATGATGAACAAGATGATTTCGAGTTGATTATTGAAGATAACAGTTACAATTGCTTACATATGCTTCATATTAATTACAATAACATATCATCACCCTTCTTTTTGAGTTGAAGAATGCATTCATATGCTTCATATTTCTCTCTATTTATATTTGCTAGTTTATTCTGTAGAGAACTAATATCACTTTCTATAGCCTTTAATTCTTGCTTTGGATGTTGAATGTTTGCGGTATGTTTTCGATCTTCCTTCCGTAGTCTTTTCAATTCATTGCGTATAAACTACAATAAGAACAAATACATATATATACATGTGAGACTTTTTCATAAAACTCAAGCCATTTTAAAATAAAATTTCCATAACTCAAATAGTTTCTAACTTATTTTCTGACCTTAAGTTATTTTGTAAAGCCTTTTAAAAATAAAACAACCCTTCACAAAAATATCTTACTTGAATATAACCCTGAATATCTTTTTTGGGGCCCAAATAGTATCGAATTTGTGCAACTTCTGAAGCATGATTAACATTATTATTATTATTACTATTATTATTAAGTTTAATATTATCCATTTTTGCTTCATTCTATTTTATCTCTCTAAGAAGCTTCTTCTCCTCTGCAAGACTGTTACTGCAGTCACTACAAAAAAAGTCACTTTTAGCTACTAAAATATTGGTCACCAACTGTCTGTTTTTTGGTCGCCAAAGCCATTCTGCGACAAAAAATTTTGGTCGCTACATTTGTCGCCAAAAATCTGTCGGGAAAGGTTTTGCCGACTAAAAACCTTTGGTCGGCAAAAAGCAAGTCTTTAGCGACCAAAATTTTGGTCGCCAATAGTCAATTATATTTCTTTAAAATCATACATTCACCGACCAATGTTTTAGTCACCAATAGTCAAGGAATCGCCGACCAAAATCTTTATTCGCCAAAAGCTACCAAACGGCGACCAACATTTTTAGTCGCCAAAAGCTTCATCTGTAAAAAAAAATAATTCATTGTTAAGCTTTGCATCCGCTCTTATAAAGACTCAAACCCCTAACCTCCCACACCATTAGCCTTATGTACCACACACATCCCACTATGCCTCTATAACACTACATGATTATATATGTAATATATATTAGTTATATAGTACATAGACCCGTATTAATATAAAAGTATATGTATAAAAATAATTATTTTTATTGACATAATTCATGTAAAAATAAATTATTTAGTAGCAAAATAAAAATAAAAATTTAACTTTTAGCGACCAAACATATTTTGGTAGTCGAAGAGACTTTCGCGCTAAAAAATACCACTTTTTGCTACTAAACATATTTTTGGTCACCAATTGTAGACTTTTTGGCTACTAAATTTTTTTTAGTCGTCAAAAAACTTACTTTTGGCTACTAAAAAATGTTTTAGTCGGTAAAACCTTCATAATTGGCGACCAAACTTATAATTAGTCGCCAATTGTAGACTTTTTGGCTACTAAATTTTTTTTAGTCGGCAAAAACTATACTTTTGGCTACTAAAAATGTTTTAGTCGGTAAAACCCACATAATTGGCGACCAAAATTATAATTAGTTGCCAATTGTTGACTTTTTGGCTACTAATTTTTTTTTAGTCGGCAAAAACTATACTTTTGGCTACTAAAAATGTTTTAGTTGGTAAAACCCATATAATTGGCGACTAAACTTATTTTTGGTCGCCAATTGTAGACTTTTGGCTACTAAATTTGTTTAGTCGCCAAAAAGCTTCACAATTGGCTACTAATGCTTTTTTAGTCGCTGAAAGCTATCCTTTCAGCGACCAAATTCTTTTTAGTCAGGAAATTTGGTCGCCGAATGTGTTTTTTCTTGTAGTGAGTGTTGCATCTTATGGTTCAAAATCTTTACCTGCAATTCATAATTCCACATTATTTATTGTCTTTGTAATTATTCCTTTTTAAATTCAAAACAAATTTACTTAAAATTGCCAATGATTTTCTTAATCTTTTTTATTACTGTTTGGAACATAATTTCTCAGTTTATACGCTATAATTAGCTCAATTACAAATATAACAAACTTGATTTTAGCAGTGAACATGGGTTCAAGTTCGGCTTGGGTGGGTTTGGGCTAGGCCCGTATTACATAATGATCTCTCAAATTTGGCTCAGCCAGAGATTGGGCCTATATTTTATTTCCAAGTTTGTTCCAAAATGAAATAAAAATCACAAGTTGCCACATGGTCCGGACATTATTTAATATAAATATTATTTTCATATTTTAAAATAAAATTATAATTAATTTAATCATTTGGGTGCCGTTTAAGTTGTTCCAACCTTTTAGATCAAATTTTATAACTAATTCTTTACCTAACTAGTAATACATAATTTATAGTTCTAAAAACTAAAAACAATACAAAACATACATATAAATATACACATTTATAAAAATATATTGCATTATATAAAATTTAGGATAAACTACCAATAAGTCCTATTAAAAATAATTTCAAGTAAAATCGTTGTTAAAAATAATTTTTTGTGACAATTTTTTTGTATGTCTTTAAAAATTGACAATTTTTTTTATTTATATAAATTGTCACTAAAAGTGACAATTAATGACCTTTTTCTGTGATGAATTTTTCAAACTGCCGTTGAAAATTAAAAATTAGTGACTTTTTTGTGATAATTTTTTTAAATTGTTGCTAAAAATTTATAATTAGTGATATTTTTTTGTGATAAAATTTTTGAATTATCTCTGAAAATTAACAATTATTGATATTTTTTAATAATATTTGATAAAAAATATCATTAATTATTATAAGATCTATTAAATAATAAATAAGTTCTACGCGTAAATCTCCCTATAATTTAAACATGTGATTTTCTGTGTTTGAAGCACTCTTCTCAAGTCTGGTCCACATTATAACCTAGCCTCAAAAAGTGTCCAACCCAACCTTAGGCGCCTAACCCATAATCCCAAACGCTATAAATTATGAGCAAGCTTGAGCGGGCTCAGCTAGTTATTGGGCTCATGTCCACTCCTCATATTTGAAAAATAATTTATTACTTTAAACATTAAAATTAGCTCAACTAGGAAGAAACTCCACCTCTATTATTGCCTTAACTACTTTAGCTTAATTATATAAGAACGTTATTCAACACTGTCTGAAAATTTAAGACGTGAACGTGACATTGAAAATATGATACTTTTAATACCCTCTCCCTCCACCAAAAAAAAAGAAAAAGGAAAAACCTCAACTCAACATTTTTAAAAGGATAAATTACAAATATATATTTTTTAAATTTATTTAAAATACGGATTGAGTCATATAATTTTAGAAATTACAATACCCCCTTATTAGAATTTTTTGTATAACAAAATTAGCAGAAAAAATAAAATTTATAACTACTCTATACTATACAACAATAATATTACTTGAATTATTATGTCAAATATATTTTTAATATCATTAAAAAAGGGGTCATTTATTATTAATTGACTTCATGATTTATCAATAAAATGAGTTATTTATTATATGATTAAAAACTTGAACTAGCGTAATGTAATTTGTAGAACTATAATGAGCAATCTATATTTTAAGTAAATTCGAAGGTTGTTTTTATAATTTATCTTTTTTGAAAAGGTAAACTACCAACATGTTCTAATAATTAAACTTAATTCCTATCAAGTCCTATTGAACATAAGTCTTTATAACATCGTCGCTAAAAATAGTTTGTTGTTACGATTTTTTGCATACGTCGCTAAAACTTGATAGTTAATGACTCTTTTTTGTCACGGTTTCTATAAATTGTCTAAAACTTACAATTAGTAACTGTTTTTGTGACGAATTTTTCGATTTGTTGTTGAAAGTTGAAAATTAACGACTTTTTTGTAACAATTTTTTTTAAACTGTCTCTAAAGCTTATAATTAATAACATTTTTTATGACATTTGTCGTTGAAAATTAATAATTAGTAATGTTTTTTTAACAGTATTTGATGAAAAATTTTATTAACTATTATAAGAACTATTGGATAATAAATCCACTTATTAAGACGTACCCCAAAAAATTATTACAATGTTTGGAAAATTTTTTTTTTTTTTTTTTTTTTTTTTTTTTATAATAATGGAATACTTAGGCTTAAATAACTTACAAAGCAATTGAGTTGTTCCTCTTGAGAGTATGTTCCAATAGCTCTCCTTACTTGGATGGGTTCTTTGAATGATGAAGCTCTGAGAGACAATTTTGCAAATTCTCGACTTGGTGCTTCCATGCCCAAAAACTATTTGAATATTGTTGTCGTAAGTGCTCGAACTTTGAAATAACATGGTATCCAGGTGGTGAGCTTTTACCAATTATAACTCTCTAAGAGTCTCTCCCTCGGCTAGGGTTAGGGTTCTTCGAAGGCCGAAATTCCTTCAAAAATTGCTGCGAAGTCTCCATTTCATTCCTCCTGATGATATAGATATTTGAAATAGTTCCTATGCTAAAATTACAAAGTTACAATCCGCCTATTTGGTAATTCAAAAAAGATAAAAAGTTAGAAACCATTTTGACAACTAATTAATTATGTTTTAGGTTATCATCCTTAATCAAATTCCAATTTTTTTTTTTTTTTTTGGTTGATAAAGTTGAAGTTAAAACGATCTGAGGCAAGAGCCTTACATCCATTACAAGTACGTATAGCTTGGAAAATCTCATTCTCAAAAGATAATGACAAAGATTATTTTGTAAAGCCTATAATGAGTTTTTAAAAGTGGTTGTCCACTTAGGATGATCAAATTCATATTATCCCACAATATATTGATTCTATAATCATAACTACATAATTTCATCATATACGGACTAGTATGAAATGAGAAATTATATGACCAATAGGAGAGGAAAAAGATAAAAGAGAAACTGTATGGCACAATGATAAGATTCAAACTCAAACATCCTACTAGTTGCTTGATACGAAAGCGACTCATCCAACAGACCAACTCTCTCTAAACTTATAAATAAAAGTAAAAATGATAAAAGCTATACAGGGTTGGCATACCGTCCTTTTTAGTAATTTTTCAGCAATTTGAGAATAAGCTTCATTTTTCTTTTGAATTAGCTTCTCAGTATCATGAATATCCTTTGTGAAGTTTACTTGTATTAAATGATGATCATCTCTTGAACTTGATATGGGCCCAAATTTTGTCTCATCATCCAAACAATTGTTCTGGGTTTCAATTTCTTCATTCAATATCATTTGCATGAAATCAGCTTCCATCACCTCCATATTCATCAGCATCCAATGCTGAGAAAAAGTGTTAAGAGGATCTGCGTTGTTGTTGTTCTTCACCATTGAGCTTTTGCATAAGATAAAAAGATAAGAAGTTCAATATTTGGGTATCAGCAATGTTAGGTATTATGAAAAAGCTTTCATGAAAATAATCATGAAAGCTTTGTGACCCTTGGATTACATTTAGAATAAAGCACCACACACTAATCAAGGTAATCCAAGGATCATAAATCTTTCATGCTTATTTTCATGAAAAAATTTTCATGATCCATAACTTTTCTCTTTGGGTATTGACTGTAAATATTCAATCAAAATTTATTATTGAGATTGGTCAATGAATTGAAAGATATTATACAATAAACATTAATGAGCTACATGCACAAAAATTACAAAAAATGTACATGTAAAAATTAATGTGTGATCTAAATTATTTTAAGTGTAATGATAACCACGCAAAATAAGAATTGAAAAATGATTTGGACCCCCACAGAGGGCACCCCTACAACCCCCTCTGGCCTATGATTGGCCAGTTTTTTGTTTTTTATTTTGTTTTCCTGCTCCTCCGATCACCAACCCCCACATGTGTGTGGGGATGGTGGGGCTGATGGAGGGGGGTCTCAATCATTTCCGATAAGAATTACATCTAACTGAATAACTTTAGTTTAATAATCTAACACAAGAAATAACTAATAATAATAAGCAGAAAGAGAAAAACTCATATTTTAAAATAATAAATAGCCCATAATGAGAAAATAAAGAGAAATGTTATAGACCCCAAATAATTTATCAAATTTTCTATCAAATCTCTTACATGGGTGTGGGACCCACACAAACCTACATGTGTGTGGGTCCCATACTCAAGTTTGATAGAAAATTTGATAGATTATTTGGGATTCCTAACATAACTTGAAAATAAATAACACAATTAGAAAAAAAAAATTATTATTTTTGTTTTTAAAAACCCGTCTTAAATGAATCTGAAACACACATTAAATTTTATATCTCATTACCATGTCTCATCTAATAATAAACCCAAAAACTAAAAATTTATGATCCCACTAATATAGAGAGAGAATGAATGAATCAATGGTTACTTACTGAGAATTGGAAGAAGAAAGAAAAAAGGGTCGTCTTGGCTGTGCAAGACAAGAAACCAAGAGATAAAAAAACCTATCATTTATAAAAATTCTGAACCATATAACATAATAATAAAAACGACGTTGACCTATGTGCTCACCAAGACACTTCCACCCCATGACAAGCCTGTCAAACTTAGGGATGGCAATTTGAACCCGACCCGACGGAGACCCGATCCCCTGACCCCGATTATGATGGTTTTTCCCCGAAAAATACCCCCATGGGACGGGGATGGTATTCGAAATTAAATCCCCGACCAGTTTCGGGTCGGGGAAGGTGATCAGTGTTCAAGCCTCGGCCCGTCCCCGTCCCCAGCCCGGAAATTCCCCGAAGTAAAATTACTATTTTACCCCCTCTTTATATAGACATATAAACCCCCCTTTCCCTTACAACACTGTGCACCTCCTCACACACTCATCACTGCACTGTCTCTCATCTCTCTCTCTCAAACCCTCCTCCTCTCCCTCCTCTCCGATCGCCCTCCTCTCTCTCCTCTCCCTCCTCTGCCGATCGCCCTCTCCCTCAACGTCGATCATCGGTATCCGCGACGTCGATCATTAATCACAGCCACAGCCCATCGCGACGCAGTCGCAGTCACAGTCACAGCCACACCACAGCCACTGTCGCGACGTCGTCCATCGCCACTCCTTCATTCAGATACACAGATCTATTTTTTTGATCTGTTATATATATATATATATGTGTTAGATCTGATTTTTTTTTTAGCTCATCAGATTGTTATTGTTGTTGATGTTAGATCTGATTGTTGTTGTTGTTGAAGAAATTTGGAACTGTTTTTTTTTTTCTTTTGGTCGGGGACTTTTCGGGGTCGGGGAAACCCGATCCCCGTTAAAGGGTGGGGACGGGGGCAGTGATGAGCTCCCCGTCGAGGTCGGGACCGGGGAGGGGGGGGGGTTTCCACCATCGGGGATCGGGGACGGGGAGGGTGATCCCCGGCCCCGCCCCACCCCGTTGCCATTCCTAGTCAAACTCATTAACTTCCCTTCTCCATGCAATTTATTTATTTTTTTGTTGGTTTACATTATTGTCAAATTAATGCCCCTAACACAAATTCATCAAGAATTGTTATATTGATAGAAAGAAATCAAAGCACTCTTCACTTCAATAATTCATAGATAACACAAAAATAAATAAATAAATTATGAATAAATTCTAATAGTTGGACTTAATTTTCGTCAAGTCCTATTGAAAATAAGTTCTAGTAAAATTATCGTTAAAATAATTGTGTGACAATTTTTTGCATATTTCGCTAAAAATTAGCAATTAGTGACTTTTTTTTGTCATGATTTTTATAAATTATCACTAAAATTTACAATTAGTATCATTTTTCTGTGACGAATTTTTCAAACTGTCGCTAAAATTTAAAAATTAGTGACATTTTTTTGTCACGATTTTTTTAAACTATCGCTAAAACTTATAATTAATAACATTTTTTTTTTACAATTTTCAAACTGTCACTGAAAATTAACAATTAATGGCTTTTTTTTTTTTTAATAATTTTTGATGAAATATGCCATTAATTATCATAAGAACTATAGAACAATAAGTTCACCTATTAAAATCTATTTGTAATTCTCCTTGACAAAAACGAAATGGGTACACCTTTTTTTTTTTTGCTAGCAAGAATGTTTGGGGTTGCCGATTAATGTTTTTCCTCCCCATATGATAAGTCAAAATATTTTTTTTTTGATAGAGATGAAAGCAAAACACACAGGAAAATAAAACTGGACAACAAAGGGCTAAGCCCTCACAGTACCAACTCCAAGCATTTCCTCAACAACTAGGGCTCTAAAAGCTTCGGGAGGATCTTCAAGCATTACCACATGGTCAGTCTGCGCCACTCCAAGGTTAGCCAGCATATCAGCAACTCTATTGCCTTCCCTCAGTGTGTGTCCAAGAGTACAATTGCATCTTTTCAGCAAGAACTTGGTATCCTCAATGAGAGCTCTGAAAGGGGAGTTGTGACTTGGACCATTTTGTATTAGGTTGATAACTTAAGCCGCATCAGTCTCTATTGCCACATTCATTATGCCTTTCTGGAAAAGGAGTGTCAGTCCGCGATAGATAGCCCATAATTCCGCTTCCACACCAAAACAGTGGCCTAGATAGCCATAGTAGCCCCATAACCATGTACCAGCTTCGTCCCGCAGGAGACCTCCGTAACCAGCTTGCCCAGGGTCACCCTTAGAGCAGCCATCAGTGTTGAGCTTTAGTGTACTTACAATAGGAAAACACCAGTTAATAGTTGTAGGAGCTGTTGAGTTAGGATGGAGAGGAGAAGAGAAAGCCTCTTCAATCTCATGAGCATAGGTCCAAATACTCTTGAGACTAGCTTGAATGGGATGGTTCACATTTTCAAAAACCATGAGATTGTGAGCTTTCCAAATCTGCCACAGAGTGGCAGTGAAGAAGTAGTACCATTTAGTTTCAAGAAACACATTTTTATTTTTCAAATTGGACACCACCCATTTTGCTAGAGGTTGTTTGCAACCCTCCTCCTACCATTTAAAGTCTTTAATTTCAGTGCACATAGCTTTGGCACAGGGGCACTCTCGAAGGAGATGACTTGAATCTTCACTGTAAAGACCACATCTGGGACACACTTCAGTGGTTGTCATATTCCTCCCGAACCGCATTTGATTGGTTAGCAGTCGGTCATGTAGGATGAGCCATAGGAAGCATTTAAGCTATTGAGGTATTTTAACCTTCCATGACCATTTCCAGGCCCTCCCATCATATTCCTGGTTAGAGATAATTTTATAAGCAGAAGCTATGGAGAAAGTTCCCTCAGAGGTTCCAATCCAAGTGGGCGCATCAGTGTAAGTCACAAATCTAGGTCTGTGAATCTTAGTGATCTCTTGAAGATCTTGTTGGGTAACAATATTGGCAATGAGCTCAGTGTTCCAATTGCCTTCCTCATCCAAAAGTGAGCTCACCTTATCTCTGTCATTCACCTGAGTGGAAGGGTAATGTTGAGCAAAAGGTTGCAAGCCACACCACCAGTCATGCCATAATGAGATAAGTCAAAATCTTTGAAGTAGTTTAGAAAGTTGAGTAATGATGTCACATAGTGTTTCAATACTAGTGAAATGAGTTAAACATATTTAAATCCTATTTTTTTTTTAAATTGATTAGATTTAAACATTATGTAAATAATATCATATGATATTATAAAATTATAGAATAATTTCCCAACTTTAAAAGAGAATGAAAAATAAAACATTTAACAATCGATCTATCTCTTTTGAGATTCAAACACAATGTTATTTATTTATTTATTAAACTTATTGATAAATCTCATACACAAACTTCAAAATCCATCTAGTCCCAAAACAAAACATTTGTACCAATTAATCATACATATTTCTAATTGTTACCAAAAAAATCCTTTTTTCTGTTTTTTTTTTAAAAAAATTTAAAAACACTGCTACATCTTACCACCGTTGGACTTCCATCAAACGGTCACTAGAGACTCGTTGGAATGTTCAATATCATCGCAAAGTAGCTGAATATCACCAGAAATTCACTAGAGTATCATCGGAGTGTTCTGAATGTCACCAGAAGTTTCTGAAATGCATAGAACATTCGCTGAACATCAAGAATATTGCCAAAAACTCAACAGAATGTCTAGAATATTGCCAAAAAAATAATAATAAATTGAGAAATAAGAGTGAAAAACATAGCAATATGTGCTAAATATTAATAAAGTGAAAGAAGAAAAAAAAAAACGTAAGAACAACAAATAGCAACAATAAGAAAAAAACATATGTTATTTTTATTTTTTGTAGGGTTTAAGCAATTAATCTCCAATATTGATCAAACTGAAAATTAAGTTTTGAAACTGTAAAATGTTACTATTTCAATGATTCTATTAAGCATTTATCCTTATTAATCAAACTGAAAAACATGTTATGAAACTATAAAATTTTATAATTCTAAAGAAAGTTATAAAATTGCAAAATTTTATAATTTTAAAGAATGATATATTTCAACACCAAAAAAATTGAAACTGTAAAATTTTACAGTTTTCACTGCCTATAACTAAAACTCAAAAAGAATTTGCTCAGAACTTGAAAATTTCTCCATTATAACAGGAAAATAGTAGTACATAAAAAGTAAAAAAAATGAGAGATCGAAAGAAAGAGACAGATATAGAAAGAGACTTGTATTTCGGCAACAATTTTTTATTTAGATCTAGTTGGATCTGACGTAGATCTACTCGGATCTGATATAGATCTGAGTAAATTTACATCTGATTTGAGTAGATCTACTCATCTTCTTTGTCGAAAACTCATCTCATTCGCCGTCAATGAGCGCAAAGCAAGGAGTCAGTGCTCGGTGGTTGCATGTGAATCTCAATCAATGGTGGTCGTTGGTCACCGGTGATTGCAAATTAAAAAGAGAAAGAAAAGAAGGAAGACGTGGTCATGGTTATCGTCGATATCAGAGAAAGAGATAAAGAGAAGAAATAAGGTATAGGAAAAGATAAGACACTACAACATATAAGAGTTTTAGAGACCAAATTTTGGTTTCTAAAGTGAAAACTTTGTTATAAAAGACATTTAAGGATTAATTTCCAACGTCATGAGGATAGATACTAAAAGGTCGTCCCGAAAAGTCAAAAACAAAGCTTTTAGGGACAAAATTTTGAAAATGTCACTAATAAATAGACTTTTAGAGACAAAATAATTTAGTCTCAAAATAGTTTATTTTTTGAGACAAAATTTGGTACCAAAAGGATAATAATTCATTACTAATGTCCAATTTACATTGCTAAAAATAAAATAATTATACTTTTCGCAACAAAAACATTTGGCTCCTAAAAAATAATTGTCCCTAAATTTTAGTCTCTAAAATCTTAATTTTTTCTAGTGAAAAGATATATGGGCACAAGAGTTTTGAATTTATCTAAAAAATTTTGGAATTAACTAGGACATACACTTTTCAAAAAAGAATTATAAATAATTTACCCTTAATTTTTTTTTTTGTGTCAA